AACTGTGAGCTAGCTCACACTAACTCAGCTTAGAGAGAACACTGGTCATACCTAGTTGTTTTTATTTTTCCAGTTACATAATCTTAGTCCTACCACACTATTTATTGGCCGTCTGTGGTATCTGATTTAACTGTGTTTAAATTTTGTAATCTGCCTTGAATCTCGAGGGCTATAAATGAAATAAATATAGAAACAAAAGGAGGCAGCAGGCAATCAGTTTATAAACCAATAAGGACATTTTCCTCTTAGTTTTGTGAAAATGAAAGCTGCCTATTTAATACTTCCTCTGGCAAGAGGACATTGGGCTGCTGCCTCTGCTGCCTGGGCTGCTGGGAAGATGGCTGGCCGTTCGTGTGTGGCAGGCAGAATCTCTTTGGTGCCACCTCCCCAAGCCCAGCCAAGTGGCTTCTCACCTGCAAGTAGCCTGGGGAAAGTGCCTGTGGGCACAGTCACCTGGGAAAATTCACCAAACGTGCCCATTTATGTAAGTATGTGGACAGAGCAACTCACTGGGTCAGGGACGCTCCATTTCCATTCCATTTCTATTCATTTTTATTGCTCATAGACCCATAAGTCATAAACAAATAGACAGGGTATAATACAAAATACAACATATATACATACAGTACATTACAATTACGGTTACGATTTCACAAAATTAAGCAATTTGGTTACCAAATGTATATTAACTGTCTAAAAGAGTCAATTCATTTAATACCACCCAGAGTTACAGATAAAAACTTTGCCACTGCCAACGTCACATTTGGATCGGTATCAACTAAGAGATTAGCTACAAGTTCCTGATTAGTAGCAGGGCTCCATTTTTGAATAGACACTGAGATCCATCTGTCACGAGCAATATCCTATTTTCTGCAATCAATGAAAAAATGCCAAATTGTATCCAAATCACCTGAATTACAATTACAAAGTCGTTCTGAAAAAGGAGCCCCTAGGAATCTGCCCACTAATTCCCCAAGAGGCAAAACATTTACTCTTGCCTTGGAAAACAATGTTCTATATTTGGGGACCATCAAAGATTTACCGTAAGAGGGGGCCAGGCACGCTGTGTGCAGCGTAAGAACATAAGAGAAGCCAATGTTGGATCAGGCCAATGGCCCATCTAGTCCAACACTCTGTCACACAGTGGCCAAAAATACCAGGTGCCACCAGGAGGTCCAACAGTGGGGCCAGGACACTAGAAGCCCTCCCACTATTGCCCCCCCCCAGGCACCAAGAAGACAGAACATCACTTGCCCCAGACCAAGAGTTCCCATCTATATTCTATGATTCTTGAAGCTGTCCATGCTTGTAGCCGCCGCCACCACCTGTGGCAGTGAATTCCATGTGTTAATCACTCTTTGAATGAAGAAGTACTTCCTTTTATCTGTTCTAACCCGACTGCTCAACAATTTCATTGAATGCCCATGAGTTCTTGTATTGTGAGAAAGGGAGAAAAGTACTACTTCCTCTACCTGCTCTATCCTATGCATAATCTTATAAACCTCAATCATGTCACCCCTCAGCCATCATTTCTCCAAGCGAAAGAGCCCCAAGTGCTTTAACCTTTCTTCATAGGGAAAGTGTTCCAACCCTTTTATCATTCTAGTTGCCCTTTTCTGCACTTTTTCCAATGCTATAATATCCTTTTTGAGGTGTGGTGACCAGAACTGTACACAGTACTCCAAATGAAGTCGCACCATTGATTTATACAAGGCCATTATGATACTGGCTGATTTGTTTTCAATTCCCTTCCTAATAATCCCCAGCATAGTGTTGGCCTTTTTTATTGCAGTCGCACACTGTCTAGACATTTTCATTGACTTATCTACCACAACTCCAAGATCTCTCTCTTGGTCAGTCTCTGCCAGTTTCGACCCCATCAATGTGTATTTATAGTTAGAATTTTTGGCTCCATTGTGCATCACTTTGCATTTGGCCACATTGAACCCCATTTGCCACATTGACACCCACTCGCCCATCCTCGACAGAGCCCTTTGCAGTGCCTCACAATCCTCCCTGGTTCTCACGACCCTGAACAACTTCGTGTCATCTGCAAATTTAGCCACTTCACTGCTTACTCCCAACTCCAAATCATTAATAAACACGTTAAAAAGCATCAGACCCAGTACTGATCCCTGTGGTACCCCACCGCTTACCACCCTCCACTGAGAAAATTTCCCATTTATACTCACACTCTGTTTCCTATTAATTAGCCAGTTTTTGATCCACAAGAGGACTTGTCCTTTTATCCCGTGACTATTGAGCTTACTTAGGAGCCTTTGATGAGGAACTTTATCAAAAGCTTTCTGGAAGTCAAGCGCAGGCGAGAGAGAAAAGCCTGGCACTTGTGTTAAGGGGTGCAACGCGTGCAGAATGCCAAGGGTCAGGGCAGAGGAGGCCTGCCAAGTTGGGTGAGCTAGAGTCTGCTAACTCGCTGACCCAAATGCGCACGGCTCCTCTCCTACCTACCTCACTTGGCAGCATGGGGAGGATTAAATAAGAGGCGAAACGGAAACTCATGCATGTTTCTCAGGTTCCCTGCTCGCAAGGTCTGCCTTATGTAACAGTTTAAATGGAAGTGGAGGTCGGGGGGGTGAGGCGAAGGTTAGAGATGGGAGCAGGCATTTGGGAAAGGGTGCTGAGTTTGCACACTGCAGAGGGAGGCGCTGAATGTGCATCTGTGCACTTAGTCATGGGGAGTAATATTTTGGGTGGTTGGATAATACTGTGGTGCTGGCAGGAAATAGAAGTCTGCAAAAGGCAATTAAGTGAAGCTGGCATCTTTGGAGAGTGGTTGTGCTTGAAGATTGCTTGTGGTGCTGGGGAGCATTGCAGTTCCCCTTGCAGTTGAAGCTTGTTGATGAATTTGGGACCTTGACAGAGGGAGGTGTGGGAGTGTGCAGCTGCCTCGCCCCCCTCCCCAAAGCCTGTTGACTGTAGCAGTTTCTTTAAGGCAGGGCTTGTTGGGGGTCTCCTGATAAATGCCACTTGGCCACCTGTCTCTGGTTGTTGCACCTTGATTGTCAGGCAGTAGCTCTCTGTGCTGTGCAAAACCTCTTATGATATTAAGCAAAGGATGGTTAGTTAGGTGTTGAGGAGGGGTGTGGGTCACGGTCAGTAGTAAAATACCTCCAGTACCTGGCGTTACATTTTATGGCACATGTGGCCCAGCCCGATAAAGTGACATTTATTTCAGACCTGGCTCTTGTAGCAAATGAGTTTGACACCTCTGCATGGTCCATCAGAAACTGATCAATATGATCTACCAGCAAACTATGGCCTATTTTGTGCTTCCCGACTGACATAGATACTCTTGTAGATGATTGGATTCCTGCGATATGATTAAACCAACTAGTATTTATGTTTCTTTTTTAAATAATAAGGTTGTATTTTATACACTTTATATCTTTAAGGAGCTCAGGATAGTGCACATTGTTTTGTGATCTCTTTTTATCTTCCTAACAACCCTTTAAGGTGGGTTAGGATGAGAGAGTGACTGGCCCTGAGTTATGGAGGTAGCTTCATGGGGACTGGGGAGTTGATCTTGGGTTCCCAAGATCCTAATCCAGCTCTCTAACTAAACTGCGTGTTTCCTGCACACTTATTTGCATTGCCTTCCTTCCCACAACTTTTTCTACAGTCCTGGGCAACTCTTTCTTCAGAACACATTGGAAATATGCTAGATTCTCTTCTGCTCAGTTGCAGCTGTCCGAACCAAAGTTAAGTGTCTCTGCTCCTTCTGAAACGTTTATCCTGCTTTCCCTCTTTTTCCACATTTTTACTAAAAAGGGGTGGATGTCATCTTCTTCCTAAGAAGCTCTTCTAGGGTTTTGGAATCCTGATCTGCTTTCTAATCTAGTCTTTGCTTTGGTCGACAAAGTGAGTTTGCTGCTCTGCTAATGTGAAGCTTCTGCTTGAAACCAGAGGCCTCTTCTGTCTGTCTTTTCAGACCTGCTTATTTTTTTCTAGAGCTTTCTGCAGGTTTGCCTTATGTGGATAAATCTGAATGCATCCTAAGAGGATGAGCTCCAGTAATTTTAGCATTCAGGTGTTTGTCATTTGTTTGTCATTACGGGAAGTCCTTTGGGAGCAGACACTCCCTATTCTCTGCCTGCAGCTTAGAGTTTGGAGACTTCTTAATTCACAACAAACAACAGCTCTGCCATTGTTCCCAAACTTCAAGCCACAGGTCCAAAGTATAGTCTGTTTTGGAACCCTAGTTTGCAGGCTGGACTCAAAACCACATAGTTTATGGTCTGGGAACAATGACAACTATGACTTGCTGTGAATAGTCAAGTCTGAGTCCTAAGCAGGGAGGAGGGGACAGAAGGAACACTTGTGCCCGGGAATTCTGAAGGACCTTTGAATCTGAAGGTGAATCTGAAGGTGGACAATGTCTTAAGCTAGTTAGAAACAATAATTTGACTGTTAAATGTGCTGTTTCCGAATATTTTAATTACTAAAGTACTGCCCAGCGCATATGCAGACTTGTTTTGGAGTGATGCTGTCTTGCCTGATTTGTTAACATCGTGGCAGTTAGAGATAGTAATTGTGGACTACTTGGAAGATGTTTAAGAACACCTGTTTTTGAGGCTTTTTAATGGAATGATCATAATGAAATTAACTTGTCTTGACTGTCAGTGGGGATTTGACCTCTAAGCAGGAATGGTGATCACATGGAGCTGTCTTATACCGGGGTCATAACTATCATACCAGAGTAGTATAGTCTACTCTGACTGGCAGTGTAGTGGTTAAGAGTGGTGGAATCTAATCTGGAGAACCAGGTTTGATTCCCCACTCCTCTCCACATGAAGCCATCTGGGTGACCTCAGGGCAAGTGCCTGTTCTTGACAAATTCTCTCAGCCCCACCTACCTCACAAGGTACCTGTTGAGGGGAGAGGAAGGGAAGGCGATTGTAAGCCACTTTGAGACTCCTTAAGGTAGAGAAAAGCAAGGTATAAAAACCAACTCTTGTACTACTTTTTTTTTTTAACTGAAGGTGCTGGTGATTGAACGTGGGACCTTCTTCATGCAAAACAGATGTCCTTCCACTGAGCCACTGCCCCACCTGAAAGGATTTTGTTAAAGGTGATGTTCCACGTAATTAATAGTTCTGACCTGTTCCTTCCAGTTGCACGTTTCAAACTCTAATGGTAACATTCTGATTGTAGAACTGGGAATATGAAAGAGCTGGTTATGTGCATGCAGGCACTTCATGAAGTTCAGTTTCTTAATGGCTGTAAAGATGGGTGGAAAAATAAATCTTGCAACCTTTACTGCCTTCTCTACTAAACGTAGGTCATGGGAAGCAGGCTTCATCTTAACAGGAATTGTTCTGACTCATGAATGAACTAAAAAGTGGCTCTTCCAGACAAACACCTAAGACATCTTCTTGGAATTTCACAATAAACAAAGATGACCTGACAAATTTTGAATTCTCTGGGCCCTGTAGATAGATTTACTAGCATGTTAAATTGTATTTATTCAAAGATAACGTATCTCTGCTTCTCTGCACCCTTGTACTTCTGTAGATGCCTGGCTTGGATTCGGAAACCAGAGGACCAGAGCTCACAGCTGTCAAGCTGGCATGTTAGTTTCAGCTTCTCAAGACCTTGGGATAAGAAAGCTTAAAGGAATCCTATAAACTTGAGCAGGACTGTTGGTGCAAGTACCAGTAGGATTTACCCTTTAGAACTTGTGTGGGAGTACCTTTTCTGACAAGTCGCCATGAATGTAACAAGCTTGTTTTCCTTCACAAGCCCAGCTGTTAAAAGGCTGCTAGGGTGGAAGCAGGGAGATGAAGAGGAGAAATGGGCAGAGAAAGCTGTTGATGCCCTGGTTAAAAAACTGAAGAAGAAAAAAGGAGCAATGGAAGAGTTGGAGAAAGCATTAAGCTGTCCGGGTCAGCCCAGCAACTGTGTTACAATCCCTCGTTCATTAGATGGCAGACTTCAAGTTTCTCATCGGAAGGGGCTACCCCATGTAATTTATTGCCGTGTGTGGCGCTGGCCGGACCTGCAGAGCCATCATGAACTTAAACCACTGGAATGCTGTGAGTTTCCATTTGGTTCAAAGCAGAAGGAAGTCTGCATCAATCCCTATCATTACAAGCGGGTAGAAAGTCCTGGTAGGTACCGTCATTATATTTTTCCATTTTGATTTTTTTCTGCCCATGCATATCTTTTCCAATAGCTGAGCTACAGTAATTTTTTAAGATGACAGAACTGCTAAAAAAAAAATTGGATCTATAATTCAGTGAGCTGTAAAACTGGTTGTGTGTAAGTAGAGTTTTTATTTTCCTTTTCTTAGTTCTGCTAATTAACTGTCACAAGACCATAGCTCACTCCTCTTATATCTGCTCAAATAATTCAGGTAAACTTCAGGTACATGGAAGGTAAACTTTGTTGTACTTCATTGTCTATATCCACAAATGTGGTCAAGACTGCATGTTGGATGTATCTCGCATGCGGGTTGAATGCTACATATTTCCCTTTTAATAATTAATTTGGTTAGTAATGAGCATTTCCCTGTGGGCGAGGAAATGAAAATAAACATGCAGTGGTGTATGTCCCTCCACCAGTGCATTCTGCTGAGACATGAAGTAAATGTAGATCTTGGATGACATAATTAACTATGTAGCATGCGTCAGTACTGGTGTCTGGATGTCTCATGTTAAAGTTTGTGTGTCAGTTTTTCAGCAGAGAGCAAACATCTATACTTGCCTATCGCATTTTTGGGAAAGCCAGCTCTGAAACAAGATGGTCTGAAGTCTTGTATGGAGCAAGGACCAGATCATTCTTACATTTACATGGTTCTAGATTTTAGTACACACTTGGTGGTTATTAACCTACAAAATAGGAGATGGGGAGGGAATTAATTCCATAGTTGTGCTCTGTTGGAAAATATGTGATGAAAAAGAAAATGCTACTCTTGAAGAAGAGGGAAGTAGCTATATGCAAATTCTACTCTCCATGGAACCAGCCATTTAAGGTTTTTTTAGGGAGTTGCTTAGTAGAACAATTCTGCCCTAAACCTGAAGAGGAAGATTGACAAGATCCATACTTATGCTCTAGTAAACGTTTTAGGCCATTTCTGCATGAGTTATCTGCTCCTGGTCAATGCAGTTGTGAAGTGGGGGTTTTCTGCTTCCCCACAGCGTCATGGTGCTAAGGTTTCCCCAGCTTATCTTTGACCTTCTCCCTCTGAGGTGGAGGACATCTCTATGGGTTATTCCCACCGTGCCTTTAGGGAGGCAGGAAATAGTTTTTTCCCTCCCCATGTGGAAACCGCCTTAATAGTGTCAGAAGATCCTTTAATCAAAAGTGGGATGTAGAATGAGAATACTTGGCTGTGGAGGAAGGGCAGAAGTAACTTAATCAGCAGTTCAGAACTCGGAGAATCCAGGCTTTGTTTAGACTACTGCATACATGTGGTGGTCAGAGGAGGACGACGTGCTGGGGGAAACTTTTTCATCATCTGGCAAACACTCTGACACAATTGTCGGAAAGAAGTGCCTTCTGCTGGCATGCCCATAATGGCTCTGGGTAATCGGTAACAGTTAGCTATTTGTCATTGTGCTGTGTACACAATAGCATTGCAGTTTAAAAACTGTCAAATATAGATTGCTGACTCTGGATAAATGTTAAACATGTCTTTCGAATCTGATGTAAGACTGTTCTGCTTATCGGGTTCTAGTAAAACAGATGAATGGTTTTTCCAAGCATGGTGATGCAGTAGGGAGCGCAGTCATTCTCTGCCTCTTTCTGGAGTAGAGTGCTGGCTGTCCTTTGTGCTACATATCAAAGATTTCCCAGTTATCACTTGGCCATCTTTCACCCTCTAAGATATAGGACAAATTTTTAATTTTTACAAATGCCTCCTCAATGTTTATTCGAAATTCTGCTGCATGTGCTTGGGGTTGTAGCCACCTCTTTGGTGTCTGCAGGTTTTTTTAAATTAGTTTTTAAATTTTAAAAAAACCAAAGTTAATTGAAAAGGTAATATAAGCATATACTCCCTCCCTTTGGGTTCTTAAGGTACCCAGAAGAGAACTTCTTTGCACCTTGGAATGGAATGGGAAGAAACGTAACAAATTGGAAAAACAAGTAAAGTTAAACTTGATGGAACACTGCTTGTTAATTGGGTTCAGCAGCTCTTCCCCAGGAGGGAGGCAAGGTCACTTGCATCAACACTCAATACAGTAATAAGCTGTATAAAATATGTATATATAAAATCCCAGTCAGAGACATCCTTATGATACAGCTGCTTTTTTAGCTTCTAACTAATCGGTTCTTAAGAAGTGTGTCCATCTGTGCCTTCCAAAGGCAGAAAGGGATGACCTCCTCCTGACTTCCAGGGCAACCCAGTCATAGTACTGGGACCACTGGGACAAATGTTGACAGACAACTTTTAACTGTGGCTGTTCTCACCACCTTGGAAGGTGGTGGCAAAGTGTAGGCTACACACATGCAAAAATCTAGGCAGAGAAGCAAGATGCGATAGTAGAGATTTCTGCATTCTATACAGACTGATGGCTCTCTTATTTGTGTGTTGGAGGATGTTTCTTTCACAATGGGCTTAACAATTTTTAAACTGCAGTGTCTCCAGTTGAATGAGGCTGTTTAAACCAATATGTTTCTTTCAGTTATTTTCATCATGTTTCATGCTTCCGTTCTGATTTTTTAAAGCTTTATATTTGTGCTGATTTGATACACATGCACATAGGTACACACCCACTCTACTTTGAGGGCCAGTTTTGTTCAATGCAAAAGTAGAGAAAAGTGCTTTTTAAATAAAATCTAAAGTGTGATAACCACTAGTAGTGATACCCTCAGTTCTTAAAATTTTGGCATTCTATTAACTTGGGATTCCAGAATACTTGGCTGATCATATCTTCAAACATGTAGCTGTCACAGCTCATTTCTGGCTTCGTTGAACATCACATTTATAATACATTGGGATGGATAACTTGATAACAGTGGGACCATAAGCAGGATTGCACCCTTCTAAGTCCATTTATGTCTTTTACATACTCTTGCACGCTGTTACACTTTTGCACATACATCCTCTGAACAATGGGAGGGTGGGCACTGATGCCATCTTTAAGGACTGGTGTCTGCGAACTGTAGTTTTGTGATACTGAGAGGGTGACACAAGTGAGTCCAGTTTAAAGACCTGACTGAGTGTTTTTGATGGGAAGCACAGTCTGTCTTCAGTAGTAGCTTATCCTTGAACTGTTAAGCAAATACAGAATAGGAAATGTCTTGCTCTGCTGAGATATGAACAGGCGTTTGTGTTTGTTGTTCCCCAAGTAGTAGTCTAGTTTAATTTAAAACTACCTGTGCTATTGCAAAGTAGCATTTTTGAAACCGAAGAATCCGCAAATCTTCAAAAAAAATGCCTCTCTCTAGCGCCCCCCAGTCCATTAAGTGCACTGTTTGCACAAGTTCTGTCACTTGCACACAGTGTTATATTGCTTCAGATTAAATAACTCAAGGTACAATGAGGGCGTGAAGAAATTTCCATTTTCCTGATTTTTTTTTTTTTAGAAAAACTTGTCCTCTAGTAGCATGTTCAGTAGGTGGCTGGTGTACTTTGTGCCTGATGTCTTTTGATAACAAGCTGTGCTGTGCTACGGCTGGGTCATTTCCTGACTTTCCTGTGGCATGCAGGGCAATGGGTGCAGGGAAGCCTTTTTAGAATGCAGGCTGCATTCTACTTAATTGGCTACAACATTACAAGGTTGGGAATAAATGTACATCTGAATGAGCACTGAGTGCAAAGACACCAGGGTGATTAGCATGTGACATTATTTCTGAGGTAAACAGCCTTTGCTTAAATACAGGGTGTATTTTCCCTAACTTCTCAATTTTCCTGCTACACTTCAGCTCAGTCGTGTCAAGATTAGATCCTTGGTTACAATAATGTAGCTTTCAGATCTGGTGAAGAAGTTAACATCTCCCCCCCCCCCCCCCCCCCCCCCCCCCCCCCAAAATCCTAGTAGAATTAGAAGTTGGTGAAGAAAATGTTGAATGCCTTCAGCAACAAAATCTCCTTGTATGCAGCCTGGCTAATATACACGCCATCATCTGCTTCTGCACCTGGAAGAATTGTGATGAACATTCCCTGGTTTGTGTTTGACCAGAGGGCAAGGCTGTACTTAAAGCCCAGAGGGAGCAGAATAGGCCAGCTGTGATCTAGTCTCGTACTCTGCCAGCATTATTTTTGGAAGGGAATGCTGGACAGCAGTAGACCTAGTGGGAGATAAACAGGACGATACAATGAAGGAAAAGGGCAGAACAAGATACCTGTAGTGCCCAAACTGAAGTGGAAGAGCCTCTGCAACGAATGGCAGGCCAAAGAAGACCTCCGCTTTAAAACTGGTAGCCTTAAAATATTTGGTGAGAATTCCCTAATTTAGGAAGAATTAATTACTAGTTACATGGGTTGGTCTGGACCGCTTTACGTTGTTTGGTAGGCTGATTTTTAAAATAACCAAGGCAGAAGATGATTGCCTTAATTAAGTTTCCCTTTCTGAAATTCTCAGACAAATGCTCAGTTTGGTGTTCTCTGTACAGAGGTAGGATCACTTATTTGAAGGCTGACCCTCCATTCTATGCATATTTACTTATAAATATGACCCATTGAATAAAGTAGGATTTATTACCATCTAGACATAAGAGTAAGGCTATGTTCAGAACTTTCTAGAAACAACAGCTGGTAGTTACAGGGCAAAATGTTAGTGTTCTGTAGGATTTGCAGTAAGCTCTGTAAGACGCATGACACTGCATTTGGGTAACGTGTACAAATGGCAGCCAGAATAGGGCTGTTCTGTTAGATTTTACTTATTTCTTTGAAACATTTCTGTGGCGCCTTTCCACACAAATAGAGTCCCCAAGGCAGTGAACACCAAACAATGAAACATTTCAGTCTTGAAAACATAAAGTATATATACAGTAATTCGATCAAAACACACAACACCAAAAACCAGGGAGGAGGCCAATACTAGGGGGTATGCCAAACAGAACAAAAAATTCTTCACTCCCTGGCAGACACTGATAGAGGGAGACACAGATGAATCCCCTTGGGTGAAGGATTTCCAGAGTTTTTGTCCTACTGCTGAGGAGA